TGCCCCTTAATAAATATTATTTTCATACAATAAATTCAAAAATAATTATGCATATTAATATTCATATAATTTATACAAATATTAAACATAATCATGGTTTTAAGTTTGTTATTGGAGTGAAAAACATTCCACTTAACCTGAGTGCTATTAATAATTTTATTCTACATCTCAGTTCAAAGATATTAAATTTCAAAGTCGCTTAATGGCCAATCCCTCGTTTAGGGTACTTAATACTGCAGTTCTGAAAGCGATATTTTCATTGTTCGGTCATTCGGCCATTCGGCTCTCGGTACTCTGCACTGTTTGTACTCCGCCTGCTTCGTTCTGGTTGCTTTAATGCAATAATCCTTGAATGTCGGACGCACGAACGAGTTGATAACAATTTCAATTTTTATGACAAGTCAACTTTTGCAGCCATCCACATCCACATCCAACGGCGAGCAGCCAGTTATCCGGCAACAACGTAAGGGCCAAACGAAACGAACTCAATCGTGCCGATGGCGAACAATAATAATAAGAGCAGCAACAATAATAACATGGCCGATTGCACCATTACCGCTCTGGAAGCCCTTCTTCTCTCCAATGGCCATTGCTTGCGCCCGCACTTTTCGCAATATATACACTCCGATATATATATTTTTATATAGATATATATATGTATGCAGTCTGCAGCCGGAGCGTTATGATTTATTGGCATGCAACACGGCGTTCTCTGCCGGAAATGTGTGTGCAGTCAGCCATTTTGATGCGAGAAAGTGGAAGGGTGGAGTGGGCGGAAGGGCGGCTTTATTACGGCTGTTGCCACCGAGTAAGCTGAGATATCACTCAATTCGCCTTTTGCACACGACTGTCAACAAATTTGCATCGCCATCGCTCTGCAGTGGCAGCTCACACTCCAAAATGTCTGGCACTTAAGGACTTAATATTAGCTAAAGGAAAGAAATATAATTCCCCTAGCATTGGAAGAAGGGATTTTATAAAAATATATTTAATAATATAATACCAACCATTTTTTTTTGTCAATAATTGGGATTCAATTTTTTAAGAACTATACTTATTTCAAATGATTCTAAAAGAATGTCTGTATGCTAAAAAAAAATGCTAAAAATTTATATTTTGTAGAAACATTGTATTAACCAAAATTACTTTTTAAATTTGTTTCTAAAAAACAATTATGAAATAATTTTATCTGCATTTCAAATGATAATTATTTTATTATCCAGACAACAACCAGGTGAAGTTATTCCCATTTCTGAACTGAATTAGTGAACTGAATACTGAATTCCGAATTAAAATTTGCATGCTAAACTTTCCACTCAATTCATATTCATTTTATTTTGGTTTATGTCCGACTACCACCGCAAATCCCCAGAAAATTACGTCGATTATTCAATCAGTTTGCCATCACACATTTTGCAAATCCTTTTTCAGCAGTTGCTGCCCAGTTGGACGGGCGTGGCTCTGATTTGTTGAAAGTTTCGTTGTCAGCAGCAATTAAAACAACACCGCCTACGCCCCCCGGATTTTTCTCCCACTTTTTCGCCCACTAAAAAATGCACTGAAATTACGAGAGTTGTGCAGCGTGGCAAACAAAAACAGTGAGTCGTGGAACAAAAACAAATTGAAGCACGGTCTGGTCGGGCGACCACAAATGGAATGTTTTTAGAGGCCTGGAACCGGGATTGGAATAGGAACTGGGACTCGGTTCGGGGGAGCTGAAATGAAATTAAATACGAAAATGCATGGGGCCGGAAAAGCAGAAAAGCAGGAAAGCACCACTGGCCAGTTGGAAAAAATGCAAGTGAATGTGAGTGTGCATGGCTTGAAAGTCAGTCAGTTTTGGAGCGATTTCAGGTCCGTGTCCCTGTCCTTATCCGTATCCGCATACGTGTCCGGGTTTGGGTTCGGCTTTGGGACCGTTCTTCGTTCATTGTTGGCATGCCAAAATTTTAACTGCACACCAAATAAATAAACAGTGGCACATGCACGCTGCTGGCAGAAATTGTTGTGACTGCAAACCCAGAAGGGAAACACAAACTAAATGCAGTCTTGTGTTTCCGGTAATGAAAACTTTAGAACTCTCTTTGTGCTTTTTGACTGGCTATTTTTTACTGAGCAAGAAAAAGGAGTCCAACAGAATAAAACAATACGTGCTAGAAAAGTATTTTGGAATTGACTTAAATATATTTAAACTAATTTGGTGGTACAAGATATTCTTAATAATATTTCCCTTAAATGTTCATTTAATATTTTTTTGAAGGACACGTTTTTTTTTTTAATTGCTTTAAAATTGCATTGTGTTCTATTGCATTTGTTGTCTCAGTAAATACGCCAGAAATTCCATTAAACGTGAAAAGGCTGCCCGTTTTGTGCTGCCCGTTTTGTGGACTTTCAACCTTCCAACCTTCAGAATTGCAATTACAATGAGTTGGTAACACAGAGGAAGTTGGAGTTCGGTTAGGGACATGCATTCCGGATGAGTCCTGTGTGGGAGTTTGGCAAAGAAAAGCCCGTAAACGTATAAAAAGGACAATGCGCTTATTGAAATATTTATAGAAAAGAAAAACGAGTCGAGGGGCTTGGAATCGTCTGATTTCAGGGAAAATTAATGTACAGTGGGTTCAGCGGTTAGGCAAACCAATTAAAAATTAAACAATGGCTTTGAAAAAAGAAGCAGGAAGCCAGCTTTAATCATTATTTTACTTTATACTCAACAAGTATTCAGTATTTATATTAATTTAAGGAATAAATATTTGTTTCAGGCAATTAGTAAAGAATTGCACTTAATTAATAATTCTCAACGACGTAAATTTTAAACATGAAAACTTTGAGGGTTATTTGTATAAAATATTTAAAAGTCAAAGTGCATTCCACTTCAAAAAGTGGATTACAAATCCAACATATTTAATTGTACTCCGCCACGAAAGTGACTTAAGTCCCTGCCAAAGACTTAATTTGTCATAAATATCATTTGTGTAAGTAAATAATATGGCACTTTCATGTTCATCGCATGCATATTTAGGAAAGAAATCACAGAGAGAGTCAAGAGCAGAGCAAAAATGGAAGCAAATTTATTTTGCGGAACTAAATTGAAATAATTTTGGCAGCTGAAATATGTAGGAAAATATTTTAATACCCATACATATACACACTCTAAAATGGAGAGTCTCTGCAATGGAGCTGGGAATCCCAGACTTGCTGGCAAATAAAAACAGTTCGGTAAGTGTGCAGTTCCCCGACCTTCCCGCCACTTTTCCTGAACTCCCGACCATCTGCAGTGCCTTCTGGCAAATGTGTTGGCCGTCCTCCCCTCTGTCTTCTGCCTTCTGCGTGCTCCAGCTGGCATTTGGCCAAGTCTCCGCAATTTCTTCTTCTTTTTAGATTGCATTGGCCAAAAAGGAAAATGCAGCTAAAGCGCCGAGAAGGCAAACAAACAAGCGGCAGACAAGGAGTACATATTAAATTTGTCATTTTAGCGCAAGTTTATATCTGCGGGGACACTGAAGTCAAAGTTCGTCCGCCACTCGAACCGGTAGTTGTGGTAGTAAAATTTAAAACCGCATTTAGGCAGGCAAATCGAATTCAATTGGTTGGGTTAAAGAAAGAAAAACGTTTAAGAAAAATAGGGAGCAAGTTGCGCAAAAAACATATGTTTTTTATGAGCCACTAGGCGAATACGCAATTTATGGGAATGATTTTATTGGACGCCTGAAAGAAGGCTATGCAAATCATTAAGTGAATTATCTATTTGCTTATTAACGTTTGTTTATACCTAATATTGCTGACTATCCTTTAAGATTCAGCTTCGCTTGTCATTATTGTATTTTTTTACCTGAACCGAATCAATATATCTAAATTTACTGCCCGGTTGCTCCGCCCTCTTTGTTTACCAGGTCAACCGCACTCCAATTATATTGTGATGGCATTGAGACTGTTTCAGGATTGCACTCTGGCTCAGTTGCTAAGCCTTTTTCATTCGCCGCCCATGACCATTCCATTCAATTTAAATTTGTACGCCAACTAAAACAACAAGGACTGCAACAATTTTGGCTCGGACTCAACGCTTGCATTAATAAACATCGCAACAATGTGGCAACAGGCGAGTTTGTATAGTCATAATCGTTTTATTCGGGGGGTTCCAGTTTCGTTCAATATCTGCAGCTGAACATCTCTGTTCGCTGCAGAGCTTGTTGTGGCTTTTCTGCTGCGGTTAACCCCTTCTCAGGGACAGCCCATTTCACTTCCTCATGGGCATTCATACACAATTTCCTAATGCCGTCAAAATCAGCAAATAGGATAAAGTAAATGTTGAAATGCAGGTGAAAGACAAATAAAGCAAACCAAAATCGACCCACAGATTTAAAAGGAGAGAGAGAAGAGATTCCCATAGTGCAGTTGTACATTTTAATTGAAATATGCATATGTGTTTGCACAAAAGCGCTTTATAAAATGTTCCATTCCTGATGCGCTTGCATTCAATTGTCCATTTACACATTATTCGTTATTTTTTAAATAAATAAATCACTTTTTTGACGTTTTTAAAACGCAAATACTTGTTAATATAAAAGTATGGTAAACATTTCATTAGAGCGATTACCATTTCCGTTTGAAGCTTTTAAAATAATTTACATATTTTAAATACAAATATTAAATAATAATTATTTTATAGAAATGTATTAATGTGTTCCACAAAATATTAATAACAAAGCAAATAGATACAGATTAGCTTAGATCTCCAAAGATAGAAATCAAAAAATGTATGGCCCTAACCTATAAAGGCGATTATCTAGCCTATGCATTTTGCGAGTTCTCGAAACAGTAGCCGAGCTTTTTCCACCGTCGACTGAAAGGTGGGCAAATATTTTCCCTTTGCAAACGGCGGCTAGTTGATCAACTGATTACCTATCTTGACGGCTTGTCGGCTGGCTCCGCGAGCTGCTGCAATAAGATAAGGGCTTTAGTTACAGAAACCAAGATCCATTCGGTTAGTCTGCGGCGAATTGTGCCACGCGATGTACCCACTTCCATTTGCTGTTGTCCTGCTGCTGATTTTTGCCTTCAACCGCGGGATAAGTTGCCTGCAGTTGAGCAACTGCAATAAAACCGAGGTGACCTTGATACGGGACACGGAGTTCTTGACGTCACTCACTTTGAGCAACTGCAGCCTGCCGCATCTGGAAAATGCCTTCTTTGTGCGTTTCGATCATCTGCTCAATCTGGAGCTGCAATACAGTGGACTTAGTGATTTGGATGACTTCTCGCTTAATGGCCTGAGCAAACTACAGTATCTCTCACTCGGTCACAACAATCTGAGCTCACTGAGATCCTGGGCCAGTGAGCCCTTGGGAGCACTCACCTACCTGGATTTGAGTCATAATAGATTAGGCAAGTTACGGGCCAAGAGTTTTGAGCTATATCCCCAGGTGCAAACACTCGACCTGCAGAACAACAAGATCAGCCAAATCGAGGAGGATTCCTTCAATGGATTATCGCACTTAAAGCACTTGCACCTAAATGAAAATCAACTGCAGCAACTAGATAATCACTTCTTTCGCGGCCTCCATCGCCTCTCCAGTCTGACACTTCAGCACAATCTTATCGAAAGCATTGAGATGAAGGCCTTCGAGAGCAATACCCATCTGCGAAGCCTGCGACTCGATCAAAATCTTCTGGCCAGTCTTCAGTTTCTCAGCCAACTCGGACTGGCCCGACTGGTTCACTTGAATCTATCTAATAATCTGGTGCCAAAACTTGAGCCACAGGGATTCTCCAAAAGCTTTGAGCTCCAGGATCTGGACTTGAGTTACAATAACCTAAGCCAGCTTAATAGGGAGGCTTTATCGGGATTGGACTCATTGGAGGTGAGTAAATATTAAAATATTAAATATTTAAATGACTTTTCCTGATTACTCCAAAACAGCGTCTAAACATAAGTCACAACAATGTGGAATCAATTGATACCGAAAGTCTGGAGACTCTTGTTGCTCTTCTTCAAATTGATGTGAGCTTCAATCAACTCGTCACATTGCCCGATAAATTATTCCAAGCCAACACCCAGCTGAAGGAGATTATCCTGACTAACAACCAAATAGGACAGTTATCCCCTCAGATGTTGCTCTATCAAAATCATTTGAGATATATTAAACTGGCCGGAAATGCACTTGCGGATGCTGATTTCTTGCACAGACTTTCTCCGTCCGTCAACCGTCTTTCTCTCTATGTGGATCTTAGCTCAAATCGTCTGAGGTCGGTCAATCTCAGTAGTCTTCTTCATTTTCGTTACCTCAATTTGGCGGACAACAAGTGGAACTGCGAATGGTTGGTCGCCAATTTGGTGCGTAAACTGCCGTCTTCTGTGAACTTCGCACGTCCCTGGACGGTTATTAATGACTGGAGTGAAAATACTACTAATATTGAGGGCGTGGACTGCACAGAGGGCGGAAGTAATCGGTCTATTATATTACTGGATGTGAGTAAGGTTCCCCAAGAAAAGTCGGACAATTGCAGTTGTGGAGTAAGTGAAAACTTATATAAGTTGTCACATCCCTTTTGAGAATTTTTTTCCATTAGCTACCTTATGATGAGACCAATCCCTCGCCACCTCCTCTCACCTGGCCCAAGATACCCACAGATCGATTTGATTCGCGATCAGTGATCATCTGGATGCTGGTGGCCATTGCAATGGCCTTTGCAGGACTCCGATGGTTGCGCAGATTCGTGGATCGCAATGAGAAACGTAAACTCGGGAATAAGGAGCTTAATAATGTGGTTTGTTAAGAACTTTAAAATGTTTAATACATTAAACAACGAAATTTTCAACTACCACCTTTACAAAACTATTAATTAGCTATTAATTAACTTTAAATTGATTGGCTTGACTTTCTCTGTTATCAATAACCCCTTGTTTATTTCAGTACGTCAGCAAAGTTCAGTGGCAGCCCGTCAAAAGCGATCCCGAGAGATCGTAATCGCTTTAAGAAAATAAAAATAATGCATCGGTTTAATAACAAATATATTGAGTTCCGAGTGTCTTAACATATAAGAGAATTGTGTGTGTCAATAATGATTACAATGTACACTTTGAGTAATAAAATCTAAACTTAGTCTAAGAAATCCCTTCAGATGATTACATTTACTTGTACAGTCGCTCAATGACTTGGGCATATTTGGCGTGCACAATATTTCGCCTTATTTTCAGCGTGGGACCGAGTTCCCCGGTGGCCAGGGAGAATTCGTGGGGGATGAGGGCAAACTTCTGGACCTTCTGGGCATTCGAGATGGCGTGCTTGTTGGCTCGCTTGATGCCCTCCTCGATGGCTTCCAGGAGCTTGGGATCGGCGGTGATCTCAAGGGCAGCCGCCAGAGCGGCTGTATCGTTGGGGAGCTGCAGATCGGCGGGAATGCCCAGTAGTTCTGAAAGACGGGTCTCATGCATATCCAAGTCACGCAGCCACTCGATCGTCTCCTCGCGCAGCGAATCCAGGGGAATTCCCGTCTTGCCATCGGACTTGGTCTTCAGGGACAGCAGCACAGTGAGATACTTGCGATGATCGCCGATTAGCAGTACATTGCTCACGCAGGGCAGCTCCTTCTTGATCAGCTCCTCGATGTGCACGGGCGGAATATTCTCTCCACCCGCGGTGATGATCAGCTCCTTGAGCCGCCCGGAGATCACCAGATTTCCCTTGGCATCGATGTAGCCCAAGTCGCCGGAATGCAGCCACCCATCTTCCTTGATCGCCTCCTCGGTCTTCTCGGGCAGTCCCAAGTAGCCCATGAAAATGCTACGACCCCGCATCAGGATCTCGCCCTGACCATTGCAGTCGGGCTCCTGGATCTTCAGAATGAGGCCCTCGCACGCCTGACCCGCACTGTACAGATTACTGATCTGGACATTCAGGGTGATGGCCCCACCGCTTTCCGACATCCCGTAGCATTCGCCCAGTGGAATGTCCAGGCCCAGGAAGAACTGCTTCATCTCATCCGAGGTGGGAGCTCCGCCGGTCAGAAAAACTCGGCAGTTGTCCAGTCCTATCATCTCACGGATGGGCTTTATGATGCGAGAGGCCAGCCAGTATTTGGTACTGCCATAAATGGACGGAGATTTTCTGAAAAAATAAAAGAAATTGTAATTTAAAAATAAAAAAATAATTATTTTGAAAAATAGCAATAATAATAATTTATTTTCTTTAATTTAGGACTCAGGTTTCTAAATTTCAAAATAATTATAGTTTCTTTAAATGAAGTTGTACCTCTAGTTCTTAAGTAATTTTTATTATTAACACAAAGTGACCGATGTTAATCAAAAAGAAAGTCTTACATCATCCGGATTTTAAAACAAATAAATAAATAAATTAATGTTTCTAAAGTGGTGGATTTTCTAGTTTGTTAACTGATTCTATCTATTTAAAACAGGGAAATAAATCTATTAATGGAAAAACTAAGTGAATAATCTTTTTCCCATCTTCCAAATACTGTTGTAACAAATTCTTATCTACTCCACCCTAAAATCTTTTTGATGAAAAATATTTGGAACTATCTCAACTCACCCCGCCATCAGCGTTATCTGGTGTTCAGCCACAGCAGCTCTGGCCCTTGCCAGGAGTAATCTGGAATAGGGTCTCGCCTTGGCCTCCGCGGCCACCAGGCGCTCCTGAAGTTTCTCGAAGACGCGTGGAACCCCAAACATTTTCGTTGGTCTCGCCTTCCGGAAGGTCTTGATCAGCGTTCCCTTGAGGGCGTCCTTGTCGGCAAAGGTAACACATCCGGCATGCGCTAAGCCCAGAAATACGTCGAAAATCTGGGCAGCCACATGACTCAACGGCAGATAGCTCACGAAGCTCTCCTTGCCGATCTGCACATCCTGAAGTCCAGCTGCCGCTGACTTTGTGTCGAAAACGATGTTGTCGTGGGACAGCATCACTGCCTTGGGCAGGCCGACGGTTCCCGAGGTGAAGATCAGCATGGCGCACTCGTTCGCACGGATCCTGCTCTCCCGGGCCGCCAGCTCCTCCTTGAGTTCGCTGCAGAACGTTCGCTCCTGCAGCTTCTGCCAGCTGAAGAATCCCGGCTCCTGGTCGACGAAGGCCTCAAAGGGTCCGTGCAGCTGGATCACCGCTTTCAAGCGAGGCAGACGCTCCTTGATCGCCCTCAACTTGGCCATCTGCTGGGCATCGTCCACCAGGCAAACGGAGGCCTCTCCCGTGGCCAGGACGTGATAAACGGCCTCCGCCGAGTTGCTCGGATAAATGCCTGCCACAACGGCTCCGGCTTTCAGAGTGCCGAACTCCGCGAAGAACCATTCAGGGCAATTGAAGGCCAGGATGCCCACCGAACTGCGCTCCTCGACTCCAACGCTCAGCAGCATCAGGGCCGCCTGCTCCGCTCTCTCCTGGTACTCGCCATAGGTCAGAGTGGTCCAACCATCTACCCCAGATCCTGGGGTTTCCCAAACCAAGGCGGGCAGATCCGGATGCTTCTCGCATGCATCTTTAAAGAACTGGGGAATTGTCTGGGGCAGGACTGTCTGGGAAAAGGATCCCGGCTCGTCCAGGCGCAGTTTGACGGCCTCGTGAAGTGAGGTACTCGTATAGCTCGTGGCTGGCTTTAGGTCGTTCATGCTGAAGGTGATCGCGACGAATGAACTCGGTCGGGTTCTGACCACGGGTATTTATGCCATCGCCACCAGATGCTGATAAGCCGTGACATATGTGTATAGCAGGCAGAAAAGCCGGAGATCCCAGTCGAGCACTGTGGTTTAACCAAGTCTGCGGGTCTTGGGGTTCTCAAGAATGGGAAATATACAGGGCAAGATTCTAATCAAGGATATACTAAGAGTCTACAAAAATTTAAACCGGAAACTAAAAATATTTTTTAAAGAATTTCCGATGATAGGAATTCATAATTTTCATAACACTTAAACCACTGTGCTTAGGAGCAATAAATAGGTTACCGGCTTTGGCAATCACAAGAGCCACAAGCAACGATTAGTCAAGAGTTCTTGTCTGTCATTTGAAATACATTGGCTGACCCCTAGACACGTGCTACGTCTTTGGGGTGGGATTCGTCTTTGACTGATAAGAGCTAAAGTCTGGGTCTATCGCTCTTTGGGGCAACAAACCACTAAACGCGATGCCGATAATTGTTATCAACAGTCTCAGGCTTGAGAATTGGTCGATTTTTGTTTTGTCATAGAAACAAGATTCCAAATGTCAAGAATTTTAGAAAAGAACATTTTCATGGATTCCATGGGTACAAAGGTCACTAAAAGATGTAGTATGAGATTATATTTATCAGTGTTCTAATTGATCTAAGTGAACTTGGAGCTGCGTCATTGACAAATCTTTAGCCCTCATAAGTATTCAATACATAGATACTATTCTAATGATCCGATTTGTGCTATTAGTTAGTCATTAGAAAAAATTAGACGCAAACAAAATAAACCTTAAATTGCGTCAAAACAAAACTGACCTTCGACAAGCAATAATCTTAAAAGATCTAATAACATTTTTTCTAAAATGTAAAAGTTTAATTATGAGGGTCCATCTTTATGAACTCCCATTTAGCTTTCGTTTTTGTGTTGGGAACTGGATTAATATGTGCAATAACAATTTTAAAATGTTTTTTTTTACCTCAAGAACTCTAAGTTTCAATACAAAACTGACCTTCGACAATCGGAGGGTTGACTTTGGGTCAGGTAGCTGCACAGTACATAATTTTCTGAGCGAGGTAAGTGGGTTATTCGTTCCCGACGAGACATACATATGTGAAAATACCCATACGACCCATATCCAGGTACTGCAACTGTGTGGGAAGTGGGAAACATGGGTTTACGGCCGGTAATACCCCCCTCTCTAGAACCCAGAACCCAGACCCGTACTCCCCAGTTGGTCAGTCGGGCGCATTAGACGTATGCCATATACACACATATACGCACTTGGTCATACACAAAGGGGGAGAGAAAAAACTTTCACACACAGGCCAGCTCACTGAAAAACAGAAAATCGCTGTCGAATTTCCACTGGCTGAGTATTTCTGGGCTCCTGTTCGTGGAACAGTCATTTTTTGTACAAATTTATAATTTATTGTTTAATTTATTTTATTGCTAAGTGTCAAAAGGCCCGGCCATTCGCATACACTGAAATTCATGCACCATATGCGGTGGCTTTCGGAAGAACCGGCGATAAAACGAAAATATTATTAACTCAACTGTAATTGTTGCAATTTGCGGCTTATCTTTTGTTATGCTCGCAACAACAACATTATTATGAAATTATTTACCAATGAACAGCAGCTCATGAATCGCTAACAAGTGCCCCCATTGTCAGTGGGCCCTGCTACGCCCCTGGGTGCGGTGGCCGGGGGTTTTATTGCATCAAAACTACAATACAAATAGTTGCAATATTCCGTTTTGCCTGTTCGTTTCTTTTTATTCCACTCGCAACTATATAAATATATATGCATTTTGTCGAGTGTGAGTGCGGCATGTGTAACGGTACATGGGATTTATATCAACTAATGCCAGGAAGAAATAAAAAATCGGAATACATGTATTTATATATGCGGGCAGGCGTTTGACAGAGGAGGGGTCGCCGCAGCAGATGTAATCGTATGTACGGGCAATGGTGCAAACATGACATAGGCATAGGAATCTGGAAGGGAAAAGCCCAACTGAAATGCGAACTGGCAATAAAGCTAACCATGGACATTGAAAATACATTTAATTCCGCTAGGGTGGATTCAGGGGTGGGACTTGAAGACCTGTCAGCAGAGGTAGTTCAATTATATCAAGAACTATTTAAATGTAATATTGCAATATTTTAAATCATTAATACATTTATTATTATTTTAATAAACTAACTAAAGTACCTTCAATTTAATATAATATTTTTCCTAGCAAAATCTATTTTAAAAATAAACAGTATCCCTTAGTCGTTACACTTGACTTTCGCTTCCAGTCTTCATTATCTAACGCATATTAGGCATATAAAGTGACAATATGGTCCAGCCCAAATAGAGTGGCCCATTGATGCGTCCGACCATTTGACTCTAAATCGGGACATTGACATGCTCGCTACATCTCCACACACACACATACATAAACAAATGGCTGGATGGGCGCACTTGGCGGATACGTATCGAATGCGATTTGCCATATCTTCGGCTGGGGTCTGTGGAATGGACTATATCGATATGCGAACCCTCTCCTCAGCCATTCAGCCGATCGGCCCGGCATGTGTAACAATATGTTCTGTACATATTTACACGCCCATCGAGTGACCTAATGTGCGGGCAGTGGGCGTGGCAGAGGAAGGGGCGTCGAATGGGTGGCGGTGGCGCATGTCTGGCACTTTTGTAGATTTGTTTGTGTACATATAGATATAGCGAAACCACCCGGCGCACAGCATTGATTAGCAGGCGTGAAAGAGCCGAGCCAAAGCAAAAAGTTCATGCGAGCAAAGCAACAGCAAGAGCAACAATAACAACTAGCAGCAAACAAACAAGTACACACAACAATAAGGAAACACATTCGTGCCATACATACACATGCACAAGACCAAAGCACTCGCACACTTGAAGGGGGGGGGAGGGGTTTTGGGGGCTGAAAGGGGGCGGTAGAGATAAACAGCATTTATATTCATGTACCACCAGCAGCAGCAACAACAACAACAACAACAAGAGCAGACATAAAAAGCGAAACGAAAATCAAATAACATGTGTACACTGTACATATTGACAAACAAGCGGACGGGCGATATACAAGCGAACCAGTACAAGTATGTACGAGTATGTACATCCGAATGTACACATGTATGTACCTCCCCATGCAACTCATTCAAACTCATTTCTATACCAGCTATGCCCGCACTCAAAGCCCCGTCCTCTCTCGTTCGCTCGCTCTCCCCGATTCTGGTTCTATATCTATATCTTCGACCCTCCATCGGAACCCACTGGACAGCCACATAAGTAGCAATTACAATAGCAACCGGTATTTAAAACTGTTTTTAATGCCAGCATTAGCACGAAAGTGAGATGAGGTCTAACCAAAGATCGATGGCCAGGTGACAAATTCGTCGCAAGTCAGATAAAATATAAAGGTGAAATGGAACTGAGCTTCGACCATAGAATACCCACTACTTAAAAATATTAAAAATATTTTAATGTTAAATAACTACAAAATATTCTGATTTTTAGATCGACAATTTTACTTCGAATTTGTATACCCTTGTAGAGGGTATTATAATTTCAGTCAGATGTTTGCAACGCAGTGAAGGAGACGTTTCCGACCACATAAAGTATATATATTCTTGATCACCATCACTAGACGAGTCGATCTAGCCATGTCCGTCTGTCCGTCTGTCCGTCTGTCCGTCTGTCCGTCTGTCCGTCGGTCCGTCTGTCCGTCTGTCCGTTTCAATGCGAACTAGTCTCTTAGTTTTAAAGATATCGCGATGAAACTTTCCCGAAAGTCTTCTTTCTATTGCAGGTAGTACATATGTCGGAGCGAGCCGAATCGGACCACTATATCTTAAGGCTCCCATAGGAATATTCAAAGATATATAAGAAAATTCATTGTTACTTTGTAGGAAGTAGGCGTTTTAATTCTTGACTCTTTAAAAACAAAATTCAAAAATAGAAACGCTGAATCTGGAATCCCTGGAACAGCACCGAGTGAGCATTACTTTATCTGCAAGGGTATATAAGCTTCGGCTGGCCGAAGGTTGCTTCCTTTCTTGTCGGTAATAGTTTCAAAACTTATTTCAAAATAAAGCTTTCAATCGAAAAATTTGAACTTTCATAAAACATTTTTGTTTGGATTTTCTAATACTTTTGACCTTGTTTTTGTGCTTGTTTCCTTAAAACTTCTCTACCTAATAATAGCACTTAGCTCGCTTGTAGGGTGTCAACCGTAAAAAGAACTAGACGTAAGCGGAAAAATGCAAGATCATCTGCAATTAACTAAGCATTAATGTATGTAGTAAAAGCAAAAGTCCGACGTTGACCCCATTCTCGATTCTGTCGTCAGAAGCAGAGTCACAAGTTCAGCCTGAGTGCATTTGACTGATAAGTTCCACAAGTTAATCAGTTCAAATGCACCGGGCAATGCATATATATATATGCACCCCTCGTAATAGTCATCATTACGGTCACTATCATCGATTAAAGTCGTCGGACTATCAGCAATCATCCACGCACCGATTGCGGAGTCACACTTTCCCTCTCCATAGACCTATGATGATGCCTCGATTTTCTGTCGTCATTGTTGATCAGTGGAAAATTCTCAAGACACTTCTAGAATAAATAGTATTGATTGCCGTATGTCTGAGATTGTGCATTGTTCTCGATCATGGAAAGTGACCAATGACTGTCGTAATTTCTCCAAATGGACCGGAACGCTTTTCCTCGCTGTCTGTGTAAAATTTTAAGTCATTGAGGTTAATTGTTTTTCAATTATTCTATAAAATAAAAAACAAATAAGAAACAAACTCTTACGTTCAAAGATTTTAAATGTGGGGCCATTTGAACTTATTTGGGAACGATATTGTATCCTTTGAGCAAAACATTTTTTACGCCGGAACTCAAAAGTTTAATTTTCATTTATAAAAATAAAAATTTTTTTTCTAAGAAAATATAGGTATGTAAACTACCAGTTTTTCTACTTAAATGTCTCTATACCAGTGGCGGATCCAGATTTTGTTGTGGGAGGTGATATTAGAACAAATATTTTGTTGCATACTTTTGGAATACCAAAATCCCTTTCATTTTTCACTCGAGTGGGGGGTGATATATCACCCATATCCGCGCATGCTCTATATTATTTATTTTTTAATGGAAACATATCAAAAGGATCTAAAGATCTCTGTAAAACGCTTTTCCGCTTCGTAGATTTACATTTTTGTGAAAATTGGAACACGTCTGTTCTTTTGATAATGTATCCTCCTTTTCCGACCGCCTCTGTCGCGAACACCTGTCTCACTCTTCCGGCGGCGACTGTTGGCGAATCGCTCTAAACGCCGCCAGCCGATAATCACAACAAATAAAGTTGTTGTTGTTGTCCCTCGGAGGTTGTTGGTTTTGTTGCTACGCCGACTGCGACGCCGGCAGAGAAGCTGGCTGAGAGTGATGGCGTGCCGGTGAGCAATTTCCATGAGCGCTACGTCATCACCGCCGGCATACAACAACACACATGCTGATTGGCATGCGAACAGGTCGCACTGCCTACATACGGTTACATATGTCGTACATACTCGTACACAGGGAAAAACGGAAAAGTTATGCTTTTCAAATATTTGAAAAGTATTTATTGAGAAGGTATTTTATAAATTTAAATCATTAAAAAGTTATATATTTATTAACAGTTTTTTTAAAAAAATGAAAAAAAATTAATTGTCGCTTCTTCTTATTATATTATTTTTCAGAAAGGCTTAAAAAAACATCAATATTAAATTTTAACGCATTTGGAAGAATTACAAAATATAGGATGATTTGCTCATAAGTCGAGCACTTTTACCCCACTAATATATTTTCTTTTATTTGTTTCTAATATTAACAATGAATTATAATAACACTGTATCAAAACATACCATTTCTACTTTCGGTGTAGCCTTACATATTTGAATACTCTCCTCGGCGTCACCTATTACATTTCAGTTTCATTCCATTTCTGGTTTTGGCTTTCGCGCTGCCCCTGCTATTGCTCATTACACACACACGTCGGAGAATGTAGATAGACGGGTATGTAAACATGTGCAGGTTACATATCTACGAATTTGTGAGAACGTCGCCCGTTACCGTTTTAGCTTTCATGGGGTAACATTAACCGCCCCACCCCCTCCGTCGGCCCCCTCTGCCCCACCACCCCATAACTACACAATGCCGTCGCAGCAACAACAACATCGGAGCATTGCACACCACACACGCTCCTCTGCTCTTTCGGCCTGCTAATCGTTTCTGCTCGCCTGCTGGCTGCTTATGTTTATTTGTATATATCGAGCAACACAAACGCACAAAGCTCATATGCAAAACCCGCCCGGCACATACAACTCTACCTCTACAGCACCCGTAAACCCGTATACCCCGTACGTCCCGAACGCCCCGAACACCCTCCGCCGGAGAGCATCCGCATCCATCAGAGCTCGGCTAACCAACGAACACGTGTCTGGTTGCCTAGTCCGTCTCGCAGTCGGGTTGTATGTTGTCCACTCGCAAAAATAAATCTCAAAACATAACATATTTTAGTTAAGGATTGATACTTTAGATTTAAAGAAATTTTAATATCGATAAAATCCGATAAAATATACTGTTTTTTTTTGTTTTTTAAGTACTGTCTATTTTTGGATAACTTTGACTTTAAGCTTAAGTTTGAAAATTTGTAAATAACAAAAATCGCATTAAAAAAATATTTTTTTTTTTTTTTTTTTTTTGAAAAATTTGTTATGGTTCCAATAGAGATAATATAGACCATTTATTTTAAAACAAAAGTGCTAAATACCTTTTTTTATTTTTTTACTCTAATTTTATTCCAAGTGTAAGTACATTTGTTCATACAATCTTATGTCGATAGCTGTAAGAGAATGTTAGCCGACGACCAAGTATTTACGTATGCTTAAATTTAGAACCAGTTGAGGAAACCCATTTGCTCAGCTGATTTTGTGTAGATGATTGTACAAAGAGAAATAGTTACTTATGTATGTACCCAACCACAATTGTTAGAAGTAAACAAAGTGTTTACGATAGTAAGTCTCGAATTGAATCACCTATGGGTAGTGCGTAATTAAACTCATAAAAAAAATTTGAAGTCATGCAGATAAATGAGTAAAAAATATTTAACGATCGTCGTTAAAGAACCCAAAATACCCATTTCCATATTTTATTTGAATTTGAATATAGGCAACATGTTGCACCGATCGGTTGGTACGACATGAGCCCCAACCGTTTTCCCCACTCAGATGCAACCAACGCCAACATGCTCGAGCCAAGGCCGATTCTCCACTCTCCAAACGGTCGTCTCGGTACATTTCCAATGCTATTGATAAGGACGGCGGGCGATGCAAAAAGACATAATAATAAGAGACCGACAGACTCACTTATCGTACGACCAAAGACTGCGAACGGCCCGAAGTGTAAGATGATGCACACCTAAAGAAAACCGTTATACATTTTCAACTTGAACCCAAATTTACAATAATTTTACAAAGGATTTTTTTGGTTCTGTTAGAAATATTTTAGTAATTCTAAATAATTTCATAAAATATTTCAAGTATTTTACATATCTTAGTTAATCTTTCATGACTTCAACATTTTCTCAACATATTCTAGAATTTAAACCGCATTTTTATTATTGTTTTTTATTCTTGGATTTATTTTTATGTTCTTGGATTTTCTTTGGTACTGTTATAAATATTTTAAAACTCCATAAACTATTTTAAATATTTGGCATATTTAAGTTATTTTTTTATGGTTTTAATATATTTTTTTTTTAATTATTCTATTATTACTTTTGGATTTATTTTTGGAACTCATATTTTTTCCGAGTGAACCATAACAAAAGATTCGGATTGGCTTTCTCTTTAATCGGCGGCGACTGCGTTTAGTGCACTGGCGGCGACGTACGCACAATCTTGAGCCCAGCCCGAGAAGAGAAGCCCCATCAATGCTGCTCCAAGTGCTGTATCCTGTGGTGGTGGGCCTCGTCCTGATGGCGGAGGTTAGTGCACTGGCCATCACCAATGGCCATTGCCAGAAGAACATCAGCGTCAAGTACCAGGTGCCCGTGGCCAAGAGCCGCATGGCAGGTCCTTTGAATGCCAGCCACCCCGTCGATTTGGATAGCTATGTGGTGTTCGAGGAGCGGGTGCGTTGGGACAACATCCAGGTGTGCTGTCCCGGCTACCGGACCATTCTGTTCGGCTTCTGCGAGCCCGTCTGCCAGGAGGCGTGTCCCGCCCACAGCTATTGCGCGGAACCGGAGCGCTGCCACTGCCAGCGGGGCTACGAGCCGTCGCACCACCACACCGCCCACCGACCCACTGGCCACCACCAGCTCGTCTGTCGGCCGGTCTGCCAGGGAGGATGTCCGGAGCACAGCCACTGCGTGGCCCACAACGAGTGCGAGTGCTGGCCGGGATTCAAGGATGCGAGCAGCTGGTTTAGCCTCACTTTGCGCTGCGAACGGATCCAGTGTGGCCACGAGCAGCGCTTCGATCCAGGACGACGGGCCTGCGTCCAGATCGAGATGAGCATGGAGGAGCTGATGCAGCGGGTTGCTGAGCGACTGGCCAAGGGACTTGAAACGGAAACGACCACAGAACCGGAAACCCTAAACCCATAAATTAAGGAATGGTGAATCCATATTTCTTAATTTAATCTTAACCTTCAATCCTAAACCATCATCCATATAATAAAGTGAATATATTCATAAAATGTAAGTTCTGAATAAATGACTCTCTTGTTTTCATAATATTTTAAAGTTTAAAGATATTTTTCTATCCAAAAAAAACACAACAAAATTCCCAGTTACAAATCTAGTTACAAAAATTTATTGTTGCTCTTCAGACAATAAACAATTTTCTTTTGTTCAGTTGGTACAACCAAATAGCATATACAAAATAAAACTTAGGTACTAATTTAAAGATCTCTGGACCCAAAGGGAGGCAAGGTAATGTCTAACTAGGCATTCGGGCATAGTTGTCCTAAGTATAATATCCAACAGTTAACATCGGCCTATATCCTACTAAAAAGTGTGGCACTCGATTGGCCTGCAAGTCCGTTAAATTCAAATTCACATTAAAGCTCAAGTTCCGCGGCTCTCTCTTCTGTCTCCCCGAGAAAAAATCCCAAAGTCTAGGCATAGAGTTTCTCGATCTCATCGGCATACATCTTGGAGACAACGTTGCGCTTGACCTTCAGGGTGGGTCCAAGTTCGCCGGTGGGAATGGAGAAGTCGTGCGGCAGAATGGTGAACTTCTGCACCTTCTGGGCATTGGAAATGGACTGTTTGTTGGCTCGCTTGATGGCATCCTCGATGGACTTCCACACCTTGGGGCAGGGTCCTGCGGCCAGGATCTCCGACACGGTCTTGTACTCGACGCCCAGCGACTTTACCCACACCGAGGATTCGTGACTCAGCTCGTCCAGGGGCTCACCGGATTCCTTGTCGATTTCGGTCTGCAAAATAGAAATTATTAGTTAAATATCTTAGATCTTGAAAATATCGATATATTTGATATTTTTAAACATCGAGGCCTATTAAAAACATTGATGTTTTCTTCTTGTTTTATTATAAACATAATCCTTAAAAACATCGATATTATCGAAACAATATTACGAAAATATCGAAAGTATCGATATTTTTCAAGCTCTTCTTTATAAGGAAATTCCAACTCACCTTGATGGTAATCAGCACAGTGAGGTATTTGCGCAGCTCGCCCACCAGGAAGGCATTCGAAATGGCATCCAGCTCCTTCTTGATCGTGTTCTCGATGTGCACGGGCGGAATGTTCTCGCCACCGGCGGTGATGATGATCTCCTTGGATCGTCCCGTCAGTGAGACGTAGCCCTTGTCGTCTACATAGCCCAGGTCACCCGAGTGCAGCCAGCAGTCGTCGTCCAGCGACTCCTCGGTCTTCTCCTTGTTGTCGATGTAGCCCATGAAGACGTGGCGTCCGCGGATGCACAGTTCTCCGTGGCCATTGGCGTCCTTGTTGATGAACTTGGACTCGCAGCCGGGCAGGGTTTTGCCGATTGTGTTCAGGCCCACCGAATCGGGCAGGCAGATGGTGTGGCAGCCGGCGGTCTCGGACATTCCGAAGGCATCCACAATCTTCAGGTCCAGGCTGAGGAAGTACTTCTTCGTCTCCGGCGACATGGGAGCCGCCGCGCTGGCCAGGGTCAGAACTCGATCGAAGCCCAGGGCCTGCTTCACCTTGGACATGATGAGCGACTTGGCAATCTTGTACCGGAATCCCCCGGAGCTCTTGCTGCGAGAAGTTGCGGGCAAAAAGTTTAATTAGCTTTGTTGACTGATGAGTTTCTGTCGAAGGCTGGGGGGATGGGCTGGGGGGTGTGTGTGTGTGTGTGGGGGTGGGGGCAACAGGATGGGCGGTGTTTGCGAATTAGGTGCACCTCAATAAACAAGGTACATAAGCTGATTGTGCAAATGGAAATGTGCAATAATGGAAATGCACACTAATTAGAAAGTAACTCTGAACTCGCTCTCATTGAATAAGGACTTGTAAATATAAAGTTAAATAATATACAAATTTAAACTTTTTTCTGCCTGTTGCATAAATTGAGTATATGTTTTTCAAAGCTCCCCCAATTACGTCTGATTTTTGGTTTGGTTTTGGCCCGCTTGATGGGTTTCGTAATGCTTCAATCACTGCCCAAGTATTTGCACTTAAAAAGACCTCCCCCAAATGGTTTCACATATGCTCTTATCTGCTCTTCCCGCCCCTATTTATCCGCTTTTACTTAGGAGAACGTGCCCGCATGGCATGTCCTGGCTTTGCTCCTAGTCGTGTTCCTGGTCCTGGTCCTCCTGCATTTGCTATTTGGTAAATGCCAGCAGCAGCCGAAGCTAGAAGCAGTGGGAGCTGCCGGCGTGTTCCACGTGACGTATGAGTAATGTTGTTGTCAGTGATTTTCGCTTAAACCAGAGCGAGCAACGCTGCCGGCCCTGCATAATTTAGCGGCACCAAAACACGGCACACACGTACACAGAAAGAAATTAAATAGCTTTGAATAAAAAAAATCAGAAAATAAAAAATCTTAAAATCTGGTAAAGTTATGTTACCTTCCTAGTTAGCCAATTTTGTAGATATTTTTTATTTCTTTACTTTTTAATCATATTAGCTATTTACTGCTATTATTTTTCCTTGTGCACTTAAAGCCTGGTGGGGACTCAGCTAGGAAGCTGGCCGAAAAGCTCGCTGAGACATGAAAAATGCAGGAATGGGAGTTGGGAACGGAATTCTGTCGTTGCAGCCACTTTAACTGTGCATCCTTTTTGCATAATTTATGCGCACACAAAGTCGGAGTTGAAGTATTTGAAGTAGAGGCCTCTCATTGGGGGAATACTTACCCTTGACTCACCATGTAGTGCTTCAGCGTGATGCCCTTGGCCCAGCTGGCGAGCATTTTCTTCAGGCTGCCGCTGGAGCTGGCCACGGCAACCATCCGCTCCTGGAACTTCTCGTACACACGCGGCACTCCCATGAATCGCGTGGGTCGCGCATCCTGGAGAGACTTCACAAGCGTTCCCTTCAACGCATCCTTGTCGGCGAACCAAATGCAACCCGCGACAAAGGCACAGGTGTAAATGTCCACCGTCTGGGCGGCCACATGCGACAAGGGAAGATAGGAAACGATCGACTCCGCCCCCACCACCACCCGGTCCATGGCCTTGACAATGCCGCGCACGTCGAAGGTGATGTTGTCGTGGGAGAGCATCACGCCCTTGGGCATGCCCACCGTTCCGGAGGTGTAGACCAGGCAGCAGCACTCGTTGATCGCCACGTTCTCCAGGCGCGTCTTGTACTGGTCCTCCACGTCGCTCACGTTCATCGACTCGATCTCCGACCACTGAGGAAGGAAGGAAAATTAAAATTAAATTTTAAAATAATTATACGAACTATAGAGATTTTTCTAAATATTTTATTTTTGTTCCTGATAAAACAAATTATTTATTAACTACGTTGACTGTTATTATCATCAAAAGTATTTTATTTAACACGGATGTAATGGTATTTTTGTCATAATTAAATTAGGTCTATAATATATTTAAAAAATGTTAAAATAAATATTATTTATCATAGCAACTCATTAAAAAATTATAATAATATAACTTTAGGAAATACATTTCAAGTTGAAATTTTCAACCTAAAATGGTGATGAATTTTCTTTTAATATTATTTTAATTTATGCAACAAAGTACTCATTCTATATCTTTAATTTAAGTGACATCTTAAGTAGTTTTTTAAAAGCAGAAAGTATAACTTAAAAATACATTATCAAAATCACAACTTACCCTGTAGTAGCCATCCTCCTTCTTGAGGTAGGGGGCATATGGCTCCTGGATCTGAATGGCGGCCTTGAGCTTGGGCAGCTTGTCGCGGATGGCGTGGATCTTGTCCATCTGCTTGGCGTCGTCCACCACGACGATCTGGGCATGTGAGCTCTCCAGGACGTGCAGGACGGCATCCGCAGAGTTGGTGGTGTAAATTCCAGCGATAATGCCTCGCGCATGGATGGCGCCCATGGCCGAATAGAACCACTCGGCGCAGTTGAAGGCCAGCACACCCACCGAGTGGTGCTCCTCCAGACCGAGCTTGATGAAGGCCTTGGCCACCTGGTGCACCTTCTCCTCGTATTGTCTGCGGGTGAGATGGCAGGTGGATAAGCCAGTTAGCGTTAAGTGAATCGTGGACACTCAAATTGGCAATTGGCCAGCAATTCGATTAGCGGTACTCACTTGTAGGTGACCGTGTAATATCCGTTCTTGCCGTTCTTGGTGCGCAGGGCGGGATAGTCGCCGTAGTTGTTAACGGTGCGCTTCAGCAGGCCGGGCACCGAGATGGGCTCCTCGGCGCCGATTCCCTCCTTGGACAGGCGAATCTTGACGGCATCCTCGCGGTTGGTGGTGCGGTAAACCTCTGACTGCCTGAGGCGATTGGGGCCAGGACGATTGTAGAGCGCGTCGGTCGCGGACATGGTAAAAGTCTGAGATTGAGGAACACAAAATCAATTAAACTTACATCACAAAATATTTTATATTACAGAGCAATTAAAATTAATTGTGTCTACCTAACACTTAGGGGTTGGCGTGACTATTGCTATTAGGTATACCTACTAATCACTTTTGAGATAAAGATATCAAAATGCTCAGCTACGATATTAGATCACATTATCTAATTTATTTAACAAACCTATTTAATAATCAAATAAAAATGTTAACCGTTTTAATCCTGTAACTTTAATTCAGGGATAAAAACGATGTTAATCCACTTTTATGGAAATTGCCTTGTCGCCTAGAATCATACGATCTATGACTAAAGTACATGCGTTTCATTCTTTTTCACCATTCAAGATAAGATTCACACTCTAGTTGGCCTATGTCAAGGCTTCCGTTCGAAGGGGTCTCTTATCGTACGCGTATGACTTAGCATTTGATTATAAGGTGGTAACCAGCAATGTCAAGGTGGTAAAAATGCGTATAAACAAATTCAAAACTTCCGAAGAGATAGGTGAGTTAACTATATTGATCTTGGCCATAAAATATTTAACAAGATTGGCTTATTAAAATTCCCAACTATTCGGCTTATTATGCTATAA